TTTGAAGTTGTTCAACGAACGAAAAATTCACCAAGGAAATGTACTCCTTCGAAAAAACACCTTTACAATTGCAAAATTAGAAGGTTTTCCAGGATCACGCTTTATGTAGTTTCATTTAGACCTGAGGTAATGTTTCGAAAAGAAAAACTGCAAAAAAGTTGAAATATAGATGAATAAAACAAAAAATACAACTGCAGTCCACATGTGGACTGCATGGTCGTCAATGGGTTAATTATCATGCTTACTCACTTTCTTTTTTTTCCACTGCCGTATGTTTACTTTAGGTTCGTCTTTTTCCCTATTATATTCACAATGAATGACTGATAGTTTTTGAATTACTTGATAATAAAAAGTATTTTCAGAAAATCCCATTCCCGTTGTCTCTCAAAGTAGCAGTGCTTGGCATCTTCTCGTATATAGATCCCATGTACACTCTAAGACACTGTAGATTACTCCCACTACTATTACTGTAATAGTGGGCCATGATTATGTGCGTTGTAATGCTTGGTTTCAATAGAATGCTTAGGTATAAGGCTTGTTTTTGCTTATTACGCGCTCGAAGATGAAAGAAGTTTGGAGTAGGAGACCTAGGCTTAGCCTCTACGAAAGGGTTAATCGTCACTGCATGTGGAACGCCCACTTTTGGACGTGATGAGCGAACAGTACATCCCGCACGTACCATATCTTACACTCATTCTTCTCCGAAGTATCTTTATGTAGAACGTTTGTGTAAACAGTATAAGTTCCTGGTATGCCTTCCAAAGCGGTCAACTCCTAGAAGCGCTGATAAATATTTCAAGAATGCCGAAAATACCCTGGTACGACTTCGGGAATTTCGTTTTTTTTTNNNTTTTTTTTTCATTTTTCGTGTATTCATCATTTACTGCTCTCTTGTAAACTTTAATCATTTACGGTAATATTTCCAGTGTACACTCCCAGTTTTCAAAGTTTACGGAAATGCTCAATACGTGGAATGATTCATATCTTTGCGAACAAATAATCTCTATTATTTATCGTCTGCATAGGAAATTACCTTCCTTTCTACTGTGAATGAACAGCTTTAAAGCGTCATTTGTTGCATCAATGTTGCATACATCGGCTATCATTTTGCTTTTGTATTTACAGTACTCCTCAGGCTCAAAATTAAACTAACCATTTTCAAAAAATCTCAAGTATCAATGGCTTGGACGGAAATTTTCACGCTTTTGTTGCTAAAAATTTCCGAGTCGATTACACACCACGTTCTAATCAAGTACTTTTTCTCATTATATATGTAGAGGGTTTGGTTTAAAGCTTAATTTCCGTTCGATATTTGCTCAGACAGACCTATTTCATGAGTGCATTATTAAATAAATAAATAAATCAATAAATAAATAAAGAAAAGCAAAGAAGTAAAGTGAAAATACAAAAGTATTCTGGACTGAAATCGCTCTAGAAAATTATTGTTGTGAATTGACTACGTGGTCGTTTCTAACGTTCCGAAATTTTCCTTTATGAACAAATTTCTGCAGAATGGATTACCAGTTGGTTGTCGGTACGGTCGGCTTCATTGTGGTGTCAACCTTCATTCTGTATTGTGATGTCTTATTCATCATAACTCGTAATCGGCATTCTAACCGATTCAACAGCGCTTTCTTCAGACTATGGTGGAATCAGGTACAATAGTTTGGCTGTTTTATACTAATCAAAGACGGGATGTAGTGTAGCGCCGAAAGGCGCAGTATTACTCTCATAGTTCGGGATGGAGCCCTAGCTCGAGCAAATCTAGGCCATTCGAGCCTTTCATTCCTTTGGGTCGCGTAATTAGTTTGGACCTGTCTGGGAGAATAGAACATTATCTAGGGTATCGGCTGGCGACTGTAAATCATTGTATGGGCCAGCTATTAATTCAAACTTCANAGCAATTTTGAATGGAAGTCGAGTGCGGGGAGCTTCCTAGAAAGACAGTTAATTAACGTAGGAGAACTTTATTCTTCATATTTTGATTTCTTTTTCATGTATTCTCAATTCAGGGGTTCTTCGATCTTCTTTCGCTCACGTTTTTCACGGCGACCATGTACTCCAGATGTTTCAATGCAATGGTTCCTGTATTTCTATACATGAACCGTTATCCTGTCTGGACGAAATTCGCCCAAGTTACCCAGGAAGTAATTATGTACACCCAAGCAACCACTGTTGTTCTGGAATTCGGTGTGCGGTTAATGACGATGTGCCTACCTTCGGCTTACATAACAAAGGTGATTGATGACGAGTATCCGTCTTCTTTTTTCTTGAATGTTTGCTTCTCTTTGTCATATTCTCTGTTTTTTTTGTTAGATTCCCACTGAAACTCTCACTGGTAGAATTCCTACTGGTTAAAGTCTATGCCGCGTTTCCTACATTAATGTTCATTAAGGTCGTGGATCATTTACCGAAATGGAAACTCCTTGTCGCTCTAGTATCGCTACCACTCATTATTGCTACACCATTCTATTGTATTTTCAATTTTCAGTATGGTCTTAAGGGTACGAACGTTCCACTACTTCTAAGTACTCCTGATGTTACCTACGATACGGTGAGTAGGAATTTTTTGTGTACTAAACAGTTACATTAGATGCAAGCAAACTGCCTGAACAAACTTAAATAGTCCAGTCCATATATATTTCAGTCCATCTTCTTTATCGGACTAGTTTACCGAGTGACGGCTCTGGTCCTCTGTCTGTGCGGTTATGTTTATATGTTCGATACGATTCGAAGGAAAGGGTTAGTTAAACACCGTTTCCAGCTCAACTAAACTTTTTTTCGGGAAGTGTTCTACTCACATACGAGGTGAGGGATGCAGCATCCAAAGTGGCCAGGAATGTATCGTCAGCATGCGCCATGCATTCTATTGCTAATCAAAGTTGCGATTTGAGGAGATACGTATAATACCTCTTGAATAGCAGGAATTCAGTTCATTTTGTTAGTCTTTCGCTAAGATTGAAACGGACATTGGATAGTAGACGTGAATGGGATTCCGTTTTCGGAATTCCAGGTATCAATTCTTGATCGTAGTAAAGACAGCAGCGCCATTCGTCCCTGCACTGGCTGCATCACAGAACGATTTAGACAGTTATTTGGAAGCAGTATCCGTTAAGAGTATGAAACCGGTCTAGGCTAAACGAAGACCTAGAACTCTTCAAAAGTCTTATATTCGAGTTGTAGGAGCAGCACCAATCACCCTGCGCTTTCTGACTTAAGATGACTCAAGATGTGAGAGCCTCGTGTTCGGCTTCCAGTCAAGGTTTTGTTGAAGTGGAGCTCGATTACGTGATTAACAGCGAACCTGTTATCATGTAGTTTGCTAGAAGGAACGAAGGAGGAGCTCAGGAGCTGGGTGAAGTGTTTTTCATACTTCGATCGTAGTATGGACTCACCTATGTAAACGAAATGAGTTCCATTTCACAGCCCCTCCCAAATGTTATGCTCTAAGTGGTTAAACTTTTTTTCTCTAAAGTACTTTGTCTTGAGCTTTTTAGGACTGTTCATGTTTTATTGCAGGAAATTTACAGACACTGTTACAGGGCCCGAGCAGAATTCAAAATATTGCTTCATGGCGTCTGCCTAGTGATAGCATTGATAGCTGTCATCACTTCGAGTCTTTGCCGACGATTCAAAATTGGCGAGGTACGGTAATTGTGTTTCCTCTGCCTACCGACTATTTGATCATCAGACAAAATTCAAAACAAAACAAAAAATGACAGTAGCGCAGTTACAGTAAGGAGCGCAAAGGTTGAACACATATAATTCCCTGGCGTAGTTTAGAGCCGAATCCTATCAGCATCGTCGTATCGAATCACCTGGAAAAGATACCCGTTTTTGAATACT